GTAGTAGTTGGTCTGAACCTTGTTCAAATCACTGCCGACGAATTCGAAATCGATCTCATCCTTGGTGTCGGAGAGCAGGATGAAAGCGGTCACGACACCGGCGCCACGGCTACTCTTGATCTTGCCGGAGATCTTGCCGTACCAGATGTAGTGATTGTTGGCGAACAGACTGCCGACACTCTCCTTGGGCATGGTGAGCATCAGGTTGCCGTCCTTGACCTTGGGGAAACCGCTGTAGACCCAGTCGCTCTCCGACGCATTACCGAGGTACTTGGTGTTCAGGGCGGATTTATCCAGGTTGTCCCACTTGTAGGTGGTGCTCTGGCACACGGGCTGAGGCTCGCAGGAATCGAGAGAGTAAGAGGTCAGAGGGTCGCATCCTCCCAGACAGTAGGCACCCGTACCGCACTCGCCATATTCTAGACAGGTTGGTTAGTATATTTCGGGTAGACTAGAGATGGGGGGTGGAGAAACTCACGAGAGCAGCAAGGATATTCCTCGGGACAGTGCGAATTAGTGCTGCACTTGGGGGGACTGGAGGCCGCGAAAGCCGTGGCAGCCAGCGAGGCTAGCAGGATAGATGAAGCAAGGCGAACCATTGTGAAGTAATTACAGGCGACGAGAGGAAGTATAGAAAAAGAAGTATGTACGGGGTATGAAAAAGAAAAGAGGACCGATGCGGCGCTTAAGACCTGAACTGCAGCGGGAACGTTAGCCACACCTCGGTTTAAAATCCAGCTGGGCTGAGCTATAAAAAGAGCAGGGCAGGCAGATCCAAAAAAAAGAAAAGAAGGGAAGAAGATAAAAGATAAAGAAAGGAACAAGAATGGGACAAGTGAATGATGGGATGAACCGACAACGGGGAACGGCGTACCTTGGATGGGACTTAAACTGGGTCCAATAATCGTGCAGTAAATCCAAGTCAGCAAAGAAGGGACCCAAGAACAAGAACAAGAACGGGCGGATTCTCCGGGATGTTCTTCTTCTCGAAGGCCGACGGAAGGAAGACGAAACGAAGGGGACGAGTATAAGAATAGTCTCCGAGAAAAGAAGAGAAACGAAGGGAAAAAGGAGAGGGGGCACAAGCAGAATGAAATAAGTCGAATAACGTGGATAGGAAGAGGAATTAAATTAAGCAGGCCCAAGCCAATAAAGCGCAGATTAAAGCGAGGTGATTAAAACGGCAAAGACGGACGGAGCGAGCTAAATAAGAGTCGTCCGTTTCCATACAAGACACAAGACACAAGACACCCTCACGAGTCGATCCTTCTCGAGCTGCTCCTGCGCTCGTCCAGGATGTCAGGCATGCGGGCAGGGATCTGGCCCTCCCCCGGAAAGGGCGAACGGGGATTAATGATATTGAGTAAAACGAGGTCTTTGACTGTGACACCTGCCTGTTCCTAGACTCCTTCGAACCTGTCGACCTGTATATTCTAGGCACACGGAGTACTCCTGGATACCTACTTCAAGGTACTGACCCTTCGGAGATAAGGGACAATACCATACGGTACGGTAAACAACCCCGGGATCCACTTGAAAGTTAATGGCGCATGTCTGGTTCCCTCTCCGCCAATCACCGCACACCCTCCCTGCCAGATACTTCCGTGGTTCCTTATCGGGCGCCGTCTACCGAGTGGCAGCAACAGGAATTTCTTCAACTAGTTTCTGCTTAGCAGTCACTAACTGCTCTTTAATCCACCCGGAACAGGCATATCAATTCTTTCCATAGTGCGGTGGGTTCTCACGTCTCTCGAATATTAATACTCGGAGCTTCAGAGGGGGGGGGGATCCCGCGGGCTGCGATGGAGAGATGTCCACGGATGCGTCCCGGCAGCTGTCTTACCTGCTCCATCCCCGTCAAACCCGTTCGCAACAGTTGTCTCACCGTCGGGGATTGATGAACCCCTCGGGGCCAATGGCATGATTCCCTGTCGAACATGCTGGGGTTGTTGTCTAGGATCCTGAGGATGTTGTGTCCCTTTGATATCATCATTATTCATTTCTTTCTGTTCTGACCGGTCCAACAGAGGAGCAAGTGAAATTTCCCACTCTATTGTGGATGAGGCTTTTTTCTCTCTCTCTCCCTTCTTCCCTTCTTCCTTTCTTCCCTTCTTTTCCATCGTGTCCACTGTTTCCATTCCATTTCTTCCCCCGGACGGCGTATCATTGGGTAACGGACCCGGCCACGAACTGATCCGGTGGAGCGAACCGTCAACAAACCAAGGATCTGCCATAAGAAATTGAAAAACATGAAAAACCGGGAAAGTCATCGCACCTGCCAAAAACAAAAAGTATTTTTGGCATGTAAGGGCTTCGCCACTTCAGTCTCCAGTTCGTGGGACGGTGCTGTCCGACTGTCCGACTGTGAGTGTGTTCATTATTACTCAATCTAGGGCCCGTCCAACCAAGTTCTCATCCTCGATCATAAGACACCGCAATATAATGTAATCTATCCGTAGAAGTGTGAGTGTGAGCGTTGTCCAACCGAGCAATTAAACCCGCTCCAATCAAGCGCGACCGTCACCGGCCCCAGAGTTACAGACTGATTTGATTCAACCTTTCATTTCTGCTCGGTGCACCGCTTCCTTTCAACTGAACCTTATCCGATAGCTAATTCCTAGGTGCCTTTCTGTCCTGGCGAGGATCATCCAGGGGTATTGACTTTTGAGTCTTGACTATTTCCTTTGCATCCAGACTAGCAGCTTGCAGAACGCATGGCGTTGCCGTTAACGCCCTTTTTTTTTTCTCCGTATTGTTCGCGTTTCTATGCAGGTACTGCTTTTGCCTCCTGATCTACACGATGAATAAATAGTTAACTGTTAAACCCTCGGGAACCATGGGTCTAACAATGGGTAGAGGAAAGAAGATTAAGGTAGAGATGGTTCTCTCCTTCCTCATCGAGCAGGTAACAAGGCATCTAGCATTCCGATGGGATTCATCAATCAATCTGTAATATTAATTAATCACTGACCTCATCTCTCTTCTTCCCCTGGTTTCTGGAATTACGGAGAAGACTACCTACCGTAGACGGTGTCTTTTTTCTTTCTTGTTATTGTTATTCAATTTTGACTATTTCTTTTCTGTTTATTTTTATTATTATTTCATGTTTTGGTTTTCCCTCCCCCTGACCTGCCGTTTGCGGGGGATTATTACTATTGTTCGACGTCAGCGAAAATATTTGGTCATGCAAGGGGCAAAAAAGAAAACGGTTGCGCTTTGGTCGATCTCCATCCCTAGTTCGACTCGCCCGCTTCACTCCCTACGGAGTATTATTATGTACGACATACTGTACACCGAACGAATAAATAATTTATGTATTGTCTTGCATGGTTGCTAGGTGGTTCTATGTTGAGGAAGTGTTATGATGTGCGGCTGCACATGCATCCTGCATTTGCAATTTGCATCTCATTCTAATTCCATGGAGTAAGTAATCAAAATAATGTCTTGTACCTGCGTCTCCCCTGGTCCTTCCTGCTGAACTAGGGGGTCTAGTATTAGGGCATATCCTTCTTGTCACGTGATGTGTCCTTGGGCCACGAGGAAGGGGCAAATGATTAATGCCCAGGGGAGTGAGTACGTAGTCCATGTCCTCGATACGAAAATAAGAGCACGAGGGATGAAACGAGCAGAGGAACGAGGAAGGGGGAGGATCCCTCCTTCAGGGCTCGTGAGATTGCCCGCACCGGATCTTTATCATCTAACTACCCCGTCTCGAGGGATAAAGGGGGTAGATTATCGAATTCATGCTTTCGATTGGTCAACGTGCCACAACCCGCTAACTGTAGAAGGTGACAGGCAGGAGAAGGAAAGGCACGCAGCGCCAAGGTCCTCTTCGGGGGGATTCAATCCAGGAACTACTAGATAGAAAGTACTGCATACGGAGTGCACACGACGACTCCATGAAAGGGAGTCTGAGTCTGTCTGCCATGCAAATTGGCATCTTTAGGGCGGGTTTGTGTCCTCGCTTGAACCTTGGCGGTTCATCCTCCTTTCGCCGGGTGTTCATCGCAATTTCTTCGTGAGATTGAGGGGGTCGCGTTAAGGGTTTTCACTTTTCTCGTTCGTTGGTTTATCTTGACCCGGAGTAATGTCTGAAATCGGTCCGCGACTCCACGTTCAGAGCGAACTGTGTGTCACTGTATCTATCGGGGACAGTTGAAGTTGGGACCTGGGAACGCCACAGTGGTTCTCTTCCTACGGAGGGCCATGGCGCCATGGCCACCCATACGGAGTATTCTCCATCGTCCGTAGATACCATTCAGCTGTTTTATCCCGATTACCATTGTGGCATTGTTATTACTTAAGTCCGGTTACATCTCGCATGCCGATCAAACTGCCAAGCAGATCCAGCACGAAGGAAGCTGTCCTGATTATCTGTAATCATTTCAATATTATTCAATGGTGGGTTCTTGGGGCACTAGTCCCGTACAATAGTAACAATAGGGCAGGTAGACGAGGGCGACAACACTGCCAAGTAGCTATACAAGTTCAGTATACTAGCAGGACATATTTTAACTTTCAGGATGACAAAAACTAACCAATTTGACATGCCCCGGAAAGAGGAGCGAGGGCCCTTTCCTGGTTTTTCGTTTCTAAGTATGTTGTGTGAAGTGGGCATTTGACATATTGCGGGTACACACTATTTGCTCGTCAGTATATTTCTGGTGTGGCAACCGGAAGCGATGGGAGGTTGTAGACAGACATGCACGAGTCACTTACCCAGAGCCTCTATGGCATTGTTGTATAATGAACCTGGGCATGCATAGAGCTCAACTCCTATAAGGAAATATTTTTCTTTAATCGAATCGTCGCTGGCCTTACAAGCTCTTGACAATGTAGGCATGAGAGTCGGAAAATCGGAAAATACGACGAAAGCTGAGCTACCTGCCCGAATGGGAAAATGCACACACTGAATTCATCATGAAATAGTTCCTAGGAATAAATCAACATAGAGCTCGGTAACCAGTCCTGTTCAAAACACACCTAGACGCCTCGTACATATGACGGGTGGACTCTGTAAGTGTCATGGAGACCTACCCGGTCGGAGTCAATGATGCAGTCCCTTCATTAATACCAGGATTTCTTAAAAAGGTCCAAGCAAATATGACACCAAGATTTTCTCGAGATATCATGAACCTGGGGTTGTAGCTCAGGGGTAGAGCGCTCGCTTCGCATGCGAGAGGTCAGGGGTTCGATTCCCCTCAACTCCATTCTTTTTTGTTGTTATTATTTTAATCTCTACATTCTTTTCGCCTTTCTGTGGTAACCTGCGACGGATCTTTCAGTTTCATATCCTTCCCTCTACTGGAAGACCTTCGAAACAGAAAGATTTTTGAGAGGAAAAGCATCGATTGAGTTGGCACTGGGCTACAAACGTAAGGTAAAGCTGGGCATCCACCAGCAGCAGTATTGGATATATAAGCGCTACGAAGTGGAATAGATAGGATATAGCAATACAAGAAAGAATTGTTAAGAAGTGTGGCCATCTGGCTTTGCTGAGATTCGTATGTGCACTGCGGACTATGTAACGTATTCCGGGGCGGTATATATAGCTTACTCCATATAGAGACGCCTTCATTCGTAACAAACTACGCTGGGTGGTTTGGAAATCCACGACATCTCTTCCCCTCGCGTAGGTGGAGAATTAGTAAATTGATTATGAATAGATTTTTTGATTTCGAATCACGCCCTCACAGCGTCGGCGCAGCTTCTATTCTGCCTATCCGGATACCATAATTTCGTAGTTCAAAAGGCTCGCCAGAATCTCCAAAGCATCGGTTGATTGTTAGATTGCTAATTAGGTGTGGGCCCAAAAGTCTTCGTGTAAGTGATTCCACTCAACGGCGCAACGGCGCTCAGTTTAGCTGAAAGACCGGCAGCACCGGCACAACTGGCCTCATCGGCGGCGACTTTTTGGTCGTTGCCACGGCTCAGCATCCCGACTGGGAAATTTCCGTACTTGTCAGAAGCCTCGAGAAGGCTCGAATCATTACCACTCTGTTCCCGGGCGTCCGGGTCATTCACGGGTCCCTTGATGACCTAGACATCCTTGAAAGAGAAAGCCACGAGGCCGATGTGGCTCTGAGTACGCACCTACCTGCCGATCTCACGCCCCCGATACTGACGATGTTTGTACTCGCCCCTAGACTTCGCCAACTGCGACCACCTGCCGGCAGCCAAAGCGACCATCCGCGGGCTGTCGCAGCGGGAGCAGGTTGGCACTGTGATTCACACGTCCGGAGCAAAGATCATCGCGTGGGAGATGGAGTCCCAGCCGTCCACCTGGGACAAGTTCATGCCTCGTCGCTACAACGATATGGAAGGCGTTGAAGAACTCACCCGAGGCCCATCTGCCTCGAGCCCGGAGCCAACTGGGTACGACCACGTCCTGCCCAATTGGGCCGCCCATCGAGACGTGGACCTGGTCATCCTGGATGGTTTTCGCGAGCATAGGAATGTTCAAACGGCCATTGTGTGTCCGCCGACTGTATACGGTCCCTCGCGATTCCCGGGGTTCGCGCGGTCGATCCAGATTCCTCGTCTGCTTAACGTGGTGCTGCAGCTTCGTCGGGCGTTCACGATCAACGGGAACCAGAATCGCTGGAACATGGTTCATACCCAGGATATCTCTCTGCTGTGTGTGCTGTTGACCGAGGCTGCGGTAAACCAGCAGAAGAACGGGTTATGGAACGAGAAGGGGTATTACTTTGCGGAAAGAGGCGAGTTTGTCGGGGGTGATGTTATCAAACACATTGCGACCCTCGGTTACCAAAAGGGTCTTCTTGATTCTGAAGACCCGGTCGAGCTGCCAAATGAGGCTGTGCACCGCTTTTGGGGCGGCGGTCAGGTCAATGTAAGCTCAACTAGCCTTGGAGAGGCTCGTCAGGCTAAGGAACTGTTGGGTTGGAATCCGGTAAGAGAAGGGTTTATAGCCGATATTGAACAGGCCATGGACGTAGAAGCAGAGCTCCTCAAAGAACAGTCGAGGAGATGAATTTAGGTGGTTGTGTGAACTAGTATTCAATAAAATGAATTGTGATTTTGAACCGTTATTCTGCTTGTCTCTGCGTTGTTGTTCGAGTTCAGAATTCCAAGTCTCAGGCTCTCTGCTATTACACAAACGGACATGTGAAACATGCCATGGTCAGATTTAGAGTGTATGGACACCCCCTAATTCAATCTACCTGCTGTCATCACATCGAGGATGCAGTGGTTTCCCAGGTGCTGCAGTTAATAATTGATAATCCAGAAGGCTATTCTTTACGATAGTATATGCCCGACATGGATAATCATTCGTTTTCTTCAAGTTTCCATTGATCTAATCACTGTTGCTCCTCAATTCAGGACTGAGAGCATATTTCAAACAAGATATCGGCCATCTCCGTTGGCATGCTTAGAAAGGGCGAGTGACCACTGTTTAAGCGGAAAACGCGCGGATGAACAAGTGACTTGATCATGGAGTCTTGGATCGCCGGTGGAAGTGCCAGATCGTCGTCGCAAATGATATAGGCACTGGGTATAGTGTGCCAGGGCTCCTCAGTACCTTCCTCGGTAAACGAACGGAGACAAATATGGGGCAGCAGGTGCTTCGCTCTTGAAGCCTTGATTTCCTCAGGTACATCTTGAACCAAGTCCACACTAGGGTCGAGGCGGACATAGTCTCCCTACGATTTGCGATCAGCGAATATGCATATCGAGTGGGTGAAGGATTTGACATACGTCAACTAGCATCCACGGCCACAATTGACCGCCAACCATGTCTTTGAGATTCTTGCCTCGCTCGGCGACAAATGCGGCCATGTATACCAGACAAATGACACCTCCAGGCTTGCCAGCATCCTGTCTCTCTTGAAAACCCAGGTCCGTGCAGGTTGCAGAGATGACCATTCCACCATAGGAGTGGCCGAGCAACACGAGCCTTTCATTCTTGTCCGCGAGATCGGAGATCACTTGACGGAAACGGTGCGCATCCTCGGTCAGGCCCTTGTTTGGAGGCTCGGCGCCGTTGGAAAGGTGGTCCACTGCTATTGAGCGGATTCCTCACTCGTTCATCAAGTTGCCAAAATCATAGTAGGCGGAACCACGGTTCCAGGCGCCTGGAGATATTACCATGAGGGGGCTTTGGGATGCAGTACTCATGGAAGACCGATCTGGAAGGCCCGGAAACAGTTATTTTAGACCATCGTGTTAGACACCTCACTACGCATATCTTTTTTTACTTCCAACTGATCGCGGATATATTCCGACCGTAAGAGTTACATCGCATTATCTGCTAGCGACCACATCTTTCCGACGGGCCTCAAGGTTCCCGATGCTTGAACAGGGCACTGTGGCCGGATTAGATGCGCGATCATGAAAGCACACCGTATGATGATACAGATTTCTAATCAAGGAGACTGAGTAGAGTTTGGAGAAGTAGAGAAGTGGACGTTGACTTTGGAGAATTCGGCAGAAGCATTGAAGTTTGGGTGCTTTGGGGAAGTGGAGATTGGGATTTGATGAACACCTAACTTAGGAATAGGCTTCATTTGAAACCAATGCCATCGTGAATTGATGTCATGAATTACTCAAGCCAAAAAGGTTTACCAGAATTTTTATATTTCTTTGCTCAAGTATATAAATCCTGCCATGAAAGGGTTCTTCCGTTTCATCAATCCACTTCACACACACTCAATTCTGTTCTCACTGAATCGGTTACCTTTGCTCCAACTCAATCACCATGTCTCAAACTGTCATTCGCATTGATGGCCCGCAAAACTCGGTCCGCAACTTGACGGCTTTCAAGGATGAGGTTCCCGAGCCTAGCAAACATGAAGTCTGGTCAAAGTCCACTCGGTGTCGGTAAACTACCGCAACATTGGCGTCGCTAACTCGGCCTTCCCATTCCCTGTCAAGGATAATGTTGTCCCTTGTTCTGATGCCGCCGGTGTGGTCGTCTTCGTCGGCGAAGGTGTCAAGACCCTGTCTAAGGGCGACCGCGTTATCAGTACTTTCGACCCTACCAACCTCTATGGCCAGCAGATGAACTGGCTCAATGGTCACGGAGGTCTGGTTGACGGGGCTCTGCGTGAATACTTTACTATTCCTGCTGCCGCCGCCGTTAAGCTGCCTGAATCCTCGCCCCAGAGCTTCTCCGAATGGTCTACCCTGGTTTGCACCGGAGTGACCGCGTGGAATGCACTTTACGCCATAACCCCCCTTAAGCCCAGTCAGATAGGTCTCGCTCTTGGTAAGAACCTCTTCCTTTTCCGTATCCAGATATAGATCCCCCGCTTATATCACATTCACTATTTAGGAACCGGTGGTGTGCCTATTATTGGTCTTCTCCTCGCCAAGGCAGCGGGTTGCACCACGATCATCACCTCTTCCAGTGACGAGAAGCTTGAAGCCGTAAAGTCCAAGTTTGGTTTCGACTTCGGCGTCAACTACAAGACCCACCCTGAGTTGTCTAAGGAAGTCCTGCGCCTCACGAACGGCGAGGGTGTCGACTACGTTTTGGAGAACGGTGGATCCGGCACTATCGCCGAGAGCATCAACTCCGTCAAGATGGGCGGCAATGTCTCGGTTATCGGCTTCCTTTCCCAGGCTAAGGAGATGCCTGATGTTGCTGGTCTTGCTCTGGCCAAGGGCGCTGTCGTTCGTGGTGTGGTTGTTGGCTCCACGCAACTTCTCCACGAGGTTGTAAGGTTTGTTACTCGCAAGGGACTCCGTCTTCCCGTGGAGAAGGAACTCGGCTTCTCTGCCGACGAGGCTTCCAAGGCTTATGAATATCTTCTGTCGGGCACGCATGTTGGAAAGGTGTGCATCAAGGTTTCGGAGTAAGGGCTCTCTCTTCTTCACTCCGAGTCTATCGTGTCTAGCGAGATGGGAAACGAGGAAGACAATCATTGTCTCGTAGAATTTGCCACTCATAGTATTATGCTGTACGAATAATATCTTTGCCGAGATTGGCTCACGTACGAATAGTATAAGACATTTGTGTGTAGCGACCACGTTCGAATCCGATTCCCGAGCGAGGTAACTCGGTAGCCGCTGAGCGTGTCTCCAAATAGCCTATGCGTTTAGACTTTAAACTGGGCCCTTCCACGGACCTGGAGCCCTTCAGCTGCAGATACCCGGACCCGCTTTTGCGAAAGTCGCGAATCTGGCCTCTCTGTCACCTTCATTCGGGATAGGACCGGGTCATGGATCCATGGGAACAAATTTCGGGATGCATCAGGAGTTCAGAGCCAGGGGTGCACGTTATTGACTTTCAATTGGATTTTTGTTATCCCAAACTCTCTTTGTCATAACTATGACTCTCGCTCAAACTGTCGGATTATCGACTTCTTATAAGTTATAGAAAGCATCGAGGTTCAATCCTAGAAAACCGCGCATTTGCCCTGGATTAATGTCCGTTTTCACTCTTGAAACGGACTCAAGGGTAAGGCAAGAAGGAGCAGAATATATTTTCTTCTTATTTCAGAGAGCGAACGAAAGAAAATTCTTGAATACGAGGCTGGTCAATCCAGCACCAGAGGGCGGTGTAGGATGACGTATGTTGTAGTACAGTTTATTTATGTGGTGATAGAATAGAACACGTGAATGCCAGCACCTGACAACCTCGCTATCTCGGATCGACCGCAACTTTAATCCGCCCTATCCCCAAGTACCCCTCGAAATTTCATGGATTCAACATCCGCATCGAAGAATGGTCGAGCTACGCGCTTGTCTCTGGCTTGTTCGCCCTGCCGCTCGCGCCACATGAAATGCGACGGGAAGCGACCTCATTGTGATCGCTGCTCCGAGGCAGGCAAACAGTGCAGCTATGCCCAATCCCGACGCGGTGGGCTTAACCGCGCAGCTCTAGCTGAGCGTCGCAAACGACTAGCAGCAGCAGCAGGGACCTGTCCGACTAATGGTCTGGGTTCGCAGGGACATACACCTCCCTCCTCGCACCTTCAAATGGATTCTCACCATGAGCCTGCGGTGCTCGATTTCAATACCGAAGCCGACATCAATGGCACCTTTCTGCGATCCGCGGGCACAACTCATCTAGACAACATCGGAAATGACCCACTAATTGACTCCTACTACAAGAACTTCCACATATGTCACCCCTTCATCGTACCACAAAAACATCTAAAAAGGTTATATGAAGACCCGAGCAGACAACAAAGCTTCGCACCTCTGATCGCCACTCTTCGCTTCCTTGGGAATATCTACAAGGCGCGAGAATGGTCAATACCGCTAAAGGAGTGCCTCGAAGCATCCGTTTCCCAGGCCCCTGCATCAGATCCAATCATTGTTCAATGCCGACTCTTGTACTCCATTGCCTTATTCTGGCACGATCTCAAGGAGGACTCTCAATTACAGATGGACATGGCGACCAAGCTCGCCGTTGATATGCAAATGTTCCGCCATGAATTTGCCGTTGCGCAAGGAGCTGACGATCTTGTGATGAGGGAATCTTGGAGACGAACATGGTGGATGCTGTACATCGCGGACGCATACTACGCCGGAACCTTAGGGACGACGAACCTTCGGGTAGTGGACATTGACGCAACGACAGAATTACCGTGTGATGAGTCGGACTACGAGTCTGGAGTAAGTATCAACATCTGCTTTGTGACAGCCTGATGAATGAATGAATAGAGGGTTCATTGGATTATAGACAATACCATCCCCCAGAACCCCGCAGGAATTTAATTGCCGCGAATTTGGACCTCGGGATATGCACTTTTCATCGTTCGCATATCTTATAGGCGCTGTACAGTGCGCTGCGACGGCCATGTCCACAACCCCAAATATTGCTGCCGAAGAAGAATCGACACATATCATCCAAGCTGTCGACTGCAGCCTTGACGGATGGCGACTTTTACTACCACCAGATCGCAAACAAATCATGGACGCGACCGGTGAAGTCGACGAGCTCATGTTCCAGGCCCATCTGATAATTCACGTGTAAGTTTCTCCTTTTCTATCACATGAAGCGTCGCGCTCACTCAATAGATCAACCATCGGACTCCACCGTCCATTGTCGGCCCTCAAATTCAACGCCGTCGAGAATATCTCCAGCTGCGGTCGTGAGCCGGCCCTTGATACATCGACCCCGGATCAGGTTAACGTACATACCGTTCGAGTCCTACGAGCCATAGAGGCCCAGATCCGCCTTTTAGCCTTACCAGTTCGGCAATTTCACCACACGCCCTTCACTACCTGCATGGTGAGCGAAGGGACGCTGGCGCTACTTTCCGCCTGCAGTACCATGCTCAAGGGAAGGGATCTACGCATTGCCAGAGATCAGATTCGGATGACGCTCGGATGTCTTAGGGTGCTAGGGGACGTGTGGCCGAGGATAGCGAGGAACGTGCAGGAGATACAGACTATTGCTCAATGTGTGCTGGGGCTTGGAAGTGTGGCTGACAGCAGCAGGGCGTCTACAGTGAACGATAATACATCTTCGGGGACAGCAAGGGCAAGTTCTGGTTCGAACACCGGTGATGCCCAGAGCAACGACCTTGATCTGATTGCATCCTTGGGAGCCATCGACGATCTATGTGGTTGGTATAATTTTGCAACACCGGATGGTCTTTCGTTGGAGGTGGAACAATAGATTACGATTCCCCCACAGCATCGGTCATGGTGATGATCGCTTTTCAGAATCATTCTCTTAGCGAAGCCAAACAACCGCCAACACTGGTCATTCAATGATATTCACGGACGATCACTTTCTCACCCTATATATCATCTCGCTGAGCCGGATCTGTCATCATTTAGTGAATGGTGGAGATAGGGATCTTACGCAAGAGAACAAACCCTAGGAGACGTCGCTATCGGTAATTGGGATCAAACCAGCAAGAAGTGGCCCCATTCCTCATTAAACGTATATTCTAGTCAATTTCTTTACTAGCCAGAGGTGGAGGTCATTTGAAAGTAAGATTTCGCCACGGATCAAACCGACTCGATGACAGAGCTTCGTCACCATCAGACCGAAAGAATGAACTTTCCACGTCCGACATAGCGCCCATTCGCAAGATCGTACGCCTCCCGCACCTTTGCTAGAGGGTAGGTATCCACTAGAAAAGACCGAATGGCTCCGATGTCCACCAGCTCCGCGAGATAGGCCAACCCTTCAGTGCTGCCCTTCACGATGAAAAACAAAGCACGCACACCAGTCTTACATAGACCGCGCTTCTCATGCTCGCTCACAAAATTGTAGCTTGCTGAGTCCACCGAAACTAGCACCCCGGTGTCCGTCACATAGGACCAGCACTTCTCCAATACCTCGCCGCCAACCACATCAATGATGATATCGAATGCACCTTGGTATTGCTCCAGCATGCCATACTCAACCGTCTCATCGGCCCCCAGTGTCCGGAGAAACTCTCCATTCCGAGCATTCGAACTCGTAGCGGCAACGACCTCCACGCCAGCCACTGCCGCAGCAAGTTGAACGAGATACGCGCCCACCGCACCCGCTGCCCCGGTGATCAGCACGCGCTGTTGCTTCTGCTCCGGTTCCTGCCCACGTGCTCCCAACCGGGCCTTGACATCCTGCACCGCGGGACGCGAAAGCCCAGCGTGGTCGAACAACGCCTCGTAGGCAGTTTGAGCACTGAGAGGCACCGCCGCAGCCTGGACGAAGCTCAACGTGGTTGGTTTCAAAGTGACCTCGCTCTCTTTCATGATGGTGTACTCTGCCCAGGTCGCGCCGCGGTCTGCATCTGCCATGCCGAAGATCTCGTCGCCTGGTTTGAATTTGCTATCGGGCGAAAAGACTTGCGTGACGATCCCCGAGACATCGTTTCCGGGTATGGCGTATTCGTGGGCGAAGGTCTCGGGCCAGGCTAACATGTCGCGCACGATGCTCGTGGCTTTGACGCGGACGAGAAGCTCCTCGGGCTGAGATGGCTTTGGGATGGGGATATCAGAGTCTAGATGGAGAGCAGTGGATGGAGCGGGATTTGAGGGTGAATAAGGAGTGGCTTTTGGGGGAGCAGGATGGACGCGAACGGCTTGCATGGTGTGTGGTGTTATTGGTTGTGTTCTTGAAGTTCTAGTGTGTGATGAGAAAGAGATGGTATGTGAGTGACGGGAGGCGACTGGCATATTAAATATTGCCGCGATTTGCTATGCTGAATATTTTACATTGAATTCGTGAAGTTCGGGGGAGAATTCAGATAGAGAATTCAGATAGGAAGAAAGAAGAAGAGGAAGCAGCAGCATGGCGTGTCCGGCTCTGCGATAGGCTATCCGCTATCAACAGGCCGGTTGATCACGAAGCACTGCCGCCCCAAAGGCATTAACCGCGGAACGCTTGAAGTCTATGACGACCGGGAAGTCTCGATCGCCCACTAAACTATCTGCTAAATTCATGAGTATGTTTGATTCTCAACTGCACAAAGAGAGTTCGGAAACGAAAGCATGATATGCACAGCCGGGTTAAGCGACTCTGGAGCTGCTCTTAGAAGACACTACTATACTACTACTATAGTCTCCCGAATGCCGGGCGTTTAAACTACAAACGCCCCTATTGATTCCTCACTGAATTGATTGATAGAAGGCGACAAGTTTACAGGTACCCTCGATTCAAGACGACGATTTTATTAAGCTGAGAGAGAAACCGTAGTAAAAACATACACCCACCACACGCCCAACCAACAGTTCATTCATTCACATCAAAGTCTCCCAGACTCAGCGAGTTCAAATCAAGCCTTCATCTTCTGAGCCATAATCTCCTTATACTCCTCATCATACTGCACCAAGACCTCCGGCCCCTCCCTCTCCAGCGTCTCAGTATCGAGAACGAAAGTAACAAAGAACGCCGCCGGCTCTGTCTTGCTCGCGTTCGCACTGATCCGATGATGACATCCGGGCGCTTCATACCAGGACTGGCCCTGCTCGATCACTCGCATCGGGTCGTTGTTCATCTTGTTCAACACGGAACCTGTGGTCACGTAGGCTGAGACTGAGGCGCCTCCGTGACGATGAGGCGGCGTGGCTCCGTCGGGCGGATATTCAACGAGGAGACCCACGATCGTCTTTCCTGGGCAGTTTACTAGTTTGTACTGGTAGACGAGGGTGGTCGTGGCAAGGGGACGGCTGGTTAAGACTTAGTGGCGTTGTGCTTTACATTGTCAAGGAAAGGGGAGTGATGTACATACCTCGGATCGTAGGTTGGTTCTTCCATGGTGATAGATGGGAGTATTCTGGAGGTGAATTGTTATGAAGATTTGTATGTGCAAGTGAAAATCGTCAAGAATGCGAGTGAAAGGGCCCTTTATAAGTTGTCGAGGGTGCAGTGTAACTAGAGATGGTCGTGCATCGCACCGATGACGATCAGTTGGATCGGGAATCTAAACGGATAGGCTATCCGTAGGTATTCCTTCACAGGCCGATCGTGCATTCTCCTCCAGGCCAGAATTTGTTGAGACCTCGACAAAGAATAAGTCCCGCTCTCAACAGGTTCTCCTCGTATTCCACGAGCCCACTCTAGCGATCGAATTTGGATTCAAATGCGAAGGGCCGTATCGTGGCATTCCCTCTCACGATCTGTTGATGTTGGACATGGAATACTATGTATGCAGGAAGACCCACTTCGCGTGGACTTCCTATAGAAAGAAATGCTACTGACTCTGAGTCACGCATCAAGACTAACTTTAAGTAAGTAATGTATTTATTATTTATATATCTAGCACAGGCGGAACCGCATTCCGAAATTTCCTTTCCCCATCCTGGGTCTCCTTGTCCCAGAACCAACGCTATACGGAGTATGTTCGACGACAACACCGATTCTGCTCTGACCTCAAGCAAATCGACAGATACCTCACGCACATTCAACTGCCTAACAATCGTCGGCATAGACACAATCTCAAACTAAATCTTTCGTTCATCTCAACGCTTCAATCATGCCACCTCTCAGCGATCCCGTATGAAAATCTCGCTCTTCACTATGCCACAACGCCTTTTTTTTGTATTTCTTTAGACGTTGCGAAAATCTGGAAGTAAGTGGTCGTCAGCCTTCTTCTGGATGGTCAGGCTGGTGAGTTTTCTCGGAGACCCATTCAACGTCGACTGAGCGACTAATGAGAACCATGTTACAGGGAGCATTGTGTGAATATCGTGACCCCTTCTAATCAGCAGCGGTACTTGGTCGATGTCGGCTATGGTGGAAATGGACTGACAACTTCCCTGCCTCTCATCAACTCAGGCATGATTTTTCGAAACTTCGGCATCCAAGAACTACGGTTATCCCATAACCCACAAAACCAAAAACAAACAACAGATCACCATGCACAGCAGAGGTCATTATGGCTATATAGTTTCGAAACGCCTCCGATCAGCCATGGACCCCAGCCTACGCATTCACGGAGATGGAATTCACGCTTCGGTATTTCGAGGTCATGAATTTCTTTACGAGCCGCAGGTCGGACTGTCCCTTGACCTCTAGGCTGCTTGTGGTCAAGTTTCTACGCACGGATGATGATGGCATCTATGGAAAGCTCATCTTGGATCATGATCGCGTGAAGAAGAATGTGGGCGGGAAGTCGATTCTTGTTCAGACCTGCACAACTGAAAAGGAGAGGGTAAGTGCCCTGGAAGATCACTTTGGGTTAAGGATATCTGAAGAAGAGTCGGTGGTCGGTGGGTATTAAAAGGAGGATATCGCCGTTGAATTGACATTGATCAAGGACGGGCTTCAAGTTGGGGTGCTATCCGTTTAGAGAGATAGATCGCCCTATCTATCTACCATACAATCAATCAATCCCAACCACACACGATTATGTCTCTCTAGAGGGCAAACGAGCAAAAAAAGGCAGCTAACAAAAAAGCAAAATAGACACAACAGCAGGGATTCGCTGGTGGTCACCCACCCAACTACTAACCTGCCGGCGTGTGGCTTAAACACAGCCAGAAGGCGGGCGGCTGCCGCCCGGCCCCCGGGTGAGCTAGCGGATGAGGCCGCTTTACCGTCGCGTGACCAAGGTGAGCTGGGGGGTGAGAAGGGTGGGTGCGGAATAGACAGGGTGAGCCACTCACCCCCTTGGGCGACTCGCCCAACCCATAACCCAGATGTGGGCCTTAATTTCCACTATCTTGTTATGTTTGATCAATATTGGCTATGTGGTGCATCCCTTCAAATACCGGCGCGCTTGGCAGGACGATGTAGCCACTAAATCTGCGTGAAAATGTCGCTGCCCAGGACTGGGCTATCAATGCGACTAGGCTGCGGCAGGATCCAATGGAGCGGATGTGCCGCAGTCTATACAAACCTAATATACAAAATAACATTCGAAACCTCGTTGACTGAAATATTTTATGGTGACAGTTGTTCGTTCAACCCGCGTCCAGGTTTTAAACGGATACTAACTAAGCCAAAGGCTGCTTCGTCAACGGAGTTGTGATTGGGGATCGATTTGACCGGTTCGAGGCACCGCGAGGTCTTCCCATGGCCAAAAATAATTACTGGATTCTATACGCTAGGCAGTGCATCGCGAAGGAAAATCAATAGTTCCAGATACTATAATAGTTGTTATAAGTTTTCATAGGCCAGTGCCAGCTATACTAGTTAGGTGACACTATTACACATGAACTGTCTGCATTGGATAAGCCCTAAGCCCGCACCAGCGCCAATCTGGCAGTAAGACCTGGATACATAGGCTGGGCCAATCATACTTCCGTACCCATGAGGCGTTGATCATCGGGCTAATCAATTCAAGTTTCCTGGTAAAAGACCCTTATGAAGCTGGAATCACGTCTCATATTCTCCTCATCCGAGGAATTACCAATTTTCTGTATCCCCAACTTTCAAAGAGATGCCAGGTGTTATCAATGCCGAAGGTGAGTATAACTAAGAAGTATAAGCCACGCTATAAACGACAAAATCAGCAGGGCAAGAGATCCCTGCATCTCTCCACCGTACTAATATCAGCGGTGTCAATCTGGGCATTTGTTCATGCGGGGCTAAGATTGCATCGTATCTTTACAATAGGCGCCCTCTCCCCCCCTCAAAGGCATTTCCATAGCGATGGGGCTTTTTGTTGCTCCAAGACCTGCGTATATCTCTAAATTAACTCGGTCCACTTCCTCCCCTTCCAGACAAAGAGGATAAACTCTGCCCCAGACTCTTCCAGGAGTACTATCTACTACCCAACCCGAACATGTTTGCAACCCTGCGTTTCGGCAAAACACAAGAACCGGTCTATGTCGAGAGTCGACCATATCACTCGGGGCAACCTTATCAGTTTTCCGGTCATCAGCGGTCCGCCTGTAATGCGTGTCGGGAGAAAAAGGTATACAAAAGAGGTTCTCATTCCGGCCTGATGAACTCATGGCTAATTCGGGCGACAGCTGAAATGTACGGGGCATAAGGAGGGCTGCGACCGCTGCCGATCTAAACAGATCGCCTGCACATATCTGCCCTTCAAACAGGACCGACCAAAACCGCGAGGATCACGGCCAGCTTCTGTTATCCACAGCAGTCCTCCCCCGGCCATGACTCCCCGATCGGAGGCAGATGATCGTACCAGAAAGCGCAAGGAAGTTGACACCGCAAAGGTATCACTAGCAATAGATAACGGCTTGCCGGGGACTCCACCGCAATCCGATCTCGCGGGCCTTACCGATATCCAGAACAAAATGTCAGCGTACAGGGAAGAACGGTCTTCCTTGAGCCCGCAGGAAGACCGATTCCCCTTTCTCCGATCGGACTGTCTCCCATCCTTCGGGTCCCCCGAGGATGAAAGGGACAATCCGCTCACGCTCGAGGATTCGTTGCCTACTCAGCAGGTGGCGACACCAAGTAGGTTTATGATGCTGGACATGGTGAACTTTGATTCCGTTCTGAGTGGTATGCCCCTTGGCTCTGGCGCGGTGGACTGTCTTGATCCACTTGCACCGTCCAAGCCAGAGGCTCACAGCATCGCGGCCCTCTCGTTTGACGACGAGAACGATGTTTCCTCAGGAGTTTCAGGGTGTCCAACCCCTTTGGTGGCCCAAGTGGTAGACCGGTCCCTCGATCCATTGTGCGCGGATGCCCCCGCCGTTCCGCAGGACATCCTGCCGAATTCGGCAGCCCACTCACCCCGGGGGGTCTGGGACACTTTCGCGCCAGCGAATCCAACGCCCCCGATGCCCTGTGCATGTACGCAGAATGTGCTTGAGCTGCATAATGAGGTAGAGAAGACAAGATGGGCGGGAACAAGCTCCATGTCGCTGGGGGACAGTCTGGTGTTCCAGAGAGTCCTCCTCCGCAAGGGTTCCAAGATCCTGGCCTGCGAGAACTGCACCCGTTCCTCGGCGATCGCCATGCTGCTGATCACGATCTGCGATCATCTGCTACATCTGTCCCGAGGCATGTCGACGCGACTATGGAACTGGTTCATGCATCGGCCACCGTCGCATCCACGGCGGGGCACCGGCTTCCCGAATGTGGAAGTCGGCATGGACCGCGGCCATAGCCGGAAAGGAAAACTCAACACCTGCCAGACAATCTCCATTGGTACGTACAGTGTAGAGGACCGTATTGAGCAAGTATTGCTCATTTCGAAGGCGATCGAGTATCAAGTCCGGATGCTCTTCACCTTCTTGACTCGCCTCAGAAAAAACGCAACGTGTGCGAACTGGAACGAGCATCTCACCCGGATTCAGGCCTTGAGTGCTCGGACACAAGATCAGATCGTCCACCTGCGAGACTCGTCTGCGAGCGTGGTCAATGATATTTCGGATATTTCCCACTCAACCTGCTTGAGGAACAGTTCAATGGCTTATTAAATCTACTGCCTGTATTGTCCGCCTTGCGAAAGTACTCAAGTTAGGTACTTTGACACTTCTATAGAGTCATAGAATATAACGTAATCGGATACCGAACCGCCAGCGCGCCTCCCGTCACCATCTCTCAGAGACCACCATATCAAAAATCAAGCTTTTTTGGCTCTATGAAACGTAGTATCTTGTTGATTCTGATCATTTAATGATCTCGATAAACATCCTAGGCGATTATGACCAATAACGCCGCAATTGCAACTTTTTGAGGTATATTTATTTTAATTAAAAGCTTCAACTATAAGAGCATGTTATTTATCCCAAGATAAGGCGGCTATTACAACAAGAACAAGTTGTAGAGTTTTCAACTTATGTGACAGCCTGCTACCTACGTCACCTGTGTGTGTGTCTTGTTTGCTTTGTTTATCTTGTTTGCCTTCCTCCCCCGAATGGGGGGTTATCAGGATCGGTGTCTGTCACATCTTCCTCTCTTCTCCTTCCTTCCCTCATGTTTGTTATTCTTGTTAAAAGGCACTAAATAGATTGAATGAATAATGAGATTCGATCAGTTTGATTGGCCCTGACACTTGCTGATTTTGTGGTGTACGCGTTATTTTGGTGAGGAACGCGGCAGCCGCTGGCGGTTCGGTGCCCGATTACGCTAGATAACTTCAGATTCACTTGTCTCTTATACAAGATCAACCTGGCGTGTGATGTCAAATATTGATATCATCATAGGTATCTTTATAACAACTCATATTCAAAGTACATTCATCACTTGCTCTACAGTGTATTGACCGGGTAATGAGTGGAGAAGTATCATAGTATGAGCTATCAGCAAGCAGGTTATAAAAGTAAGCAGGTTATAAAAGTAAGCAGGTTGGAAACCGAGTCCGTGAATGATAAGCCCTGAAATCACACGAGGCAATAAAGCGGAGTCTGTTCCGGGCCTTCTGGGCGGCCTCGGAGGGTTTCCCTGATGGGTAACCCCATCGAATCTCCCAATGAGGAGGCATTCGTCCGATTGGTCGGACGTGAGGTATTTTACAGTATACTCCTTAATCTGAACATGAAGTGATATTCTCGGGTAACCATACATAACTTCATCCTTCGTGTAATACCAGAGTTGCAGCCCGCAGCTTATCATCATTCATCTTTGAGACCCAGAACTCGATTGTCTCTGCCATTTGAAGTGATATACAAGATTACAAATCTGCCCTGGTGTCGGATCATGGATGTTATCGCTGCATCGGGCACCATCTCCTCAGACTTCGACTCGAGTCCTGTTGCTGGGTCGCCGGCGACGAGCTTAATGTCTGAGACATCTAGTCTCAATGTGTCGCCACACTACATCCATGTGCCGGATATGTTCTCCTCTATAATGGCCGTCAAGCCCGTTGTAAATCCCCATTATCACGAGGTGAAGTTCAAGGCCGATGCTTGGATAGCCAGGTATGCATCAGAGGCGACACCCCTCGCCGGAGCAATTTAACACAGTTCATCCCCTTAGAACCATCTCCGCCAGCCAGCAATGGGCGGCCCGCAACTCCAAAGTAGATCTGGCGTACCTGGCCTCCATCTGGGCCCCCTACTGCGACGAGGAGGCGCTTCGAATGATGGTTGATTGGAACCACTGGGTTAGTTGTGAATCTACCACGCCGCCATCCTGCCTTCGTCTGCTAACCGACGCGGGGCACCTGTCAGGTTTTCCTCTTTGATGACCGTGCGTACAAGGGAGAAATTAATTTCCTAATCTCCCCCTTTCCCCCCAAGCTCGTGAAGAAGAAGTCCGATAAAGGCTGACAAATGTTTTCTTGCTCCGGTGTCTGTCTAGAATTCGACGAGGGTCATCTCAGCACCAATCTAGCGGCTGCCGATGAGGAGATCAAACAGACGCTGGCGCTCATGGAGGATGACGCCCCTGTCGTGCGCTCGGAGGAGAACCCCATCCGACACGTATTTCAGACGTGTTGGTACCGGTTGAAGAAGGTAAGGGAGATAAACCCCTCCCTTTCCCCTGCACGTTCGACCAGCACTAACATTTCGCCTGCGTGGGGGATTTTAGAGATCATCACCTGGTAAAAACAAACTACAGATCCCGGGTCTTTCCCCAACAAGTTCGGTGGTGTGCTGACAACGCAAGCTTAGATCTGCGGGATCGGTGGAAAGAGAGACATCAGCACTTTTTTGACGGTCTCCTTGCCCAAGTTCGGGTCCAGCAGGAGAGCCGCATGTTCTCGCGAGAGGTGCAGGAGTATATGAGCATGCGACGAAGAACGATCGGAGCCTTCCCAGCCATTGCACTAACAGAGTGAGCAGTTCTAATTTGGTGTTTCTTGAGGCCTAGTTACTGATTTGCGTGGTCCCAGATTCGCTCTGGGTATTGATCTTTCGAGGAGCATTATCGATCACCCCTGCCTTCAGGAATGCATGACTGTCTCAGCGGACCTGGTGCTTCTGTTAGCGAACCCTTCCCCCCCCCCCCTTTTTTTTTTCTCCAGGATGACAAAAGTCCATAACATCATACTGACACAAACCCCTAGGGTGAATGATATTCTGTCATACAAGAAGGACCTGGTGAGTTTTATCTTACCGTACCAACACGAGATGTAGTTGGAGAGCTGGCTGATTTGTGCAGAAACTGGGTGTCGACCACAACCTGATCACCTTGCTCCAAAAAAAGGATCTCTCAATGCAGGAAGCGGTCGACAAGATCAGTGAGATGCTCAACAACTGCTACAGGCGCTGGTACAGTGCCTTAGCGAATATGCCCATCTGGGGGGAGGATGTCGATCGGCAAGTCCTCAAATTTGTGGATGCGTGTCGCAATGTGGCGCTGGGGAATCTGTATTGGAGGTAAGAGCCCAGCCATTAATGATTTGAACAACGATTCTTGCCGACTTTTTCTGATTCCTTGCACAGCTTCAAAACCGGCCGTTATTTGGGCCCGGAGGGCGAGTCTGTCCGAGAGACTCGCATGATAAATATGTCCTTCTAGAACAAAACTTATGTCGATAGATTTTGACATCGCAATAAATTCTATCCTAGTCTTGATTGTTGTCAGATCATAGTTTGATGGATCACCTATCTTAACCCCAAGTACCGTGCCAGCGAGCGATTCCTTCAGTCAAGGGTCTGTTTGAGCTTTGGAAAAGATGGGACTGCTCCTACAGAGACAGGTCTTATGCATTGAAGTGTTATTGACACAGAATACCCGCTAGATTTCTCCAGACTGGCCCCTCAAACCCGAGCCAAAAATCTAGAGATCTATTCTACCTTGGCCCACTCCTTACTCAGCTCCCACAGCTTTTCCTCTTTCTCCTGATCGAACGCATAAGCGGCATAGCCATATTCGATCGCATCCCCATCCGAGGGGCAGGGGTGGACCGTCACCGACGCGCCTTCTAGATATAATGCTCCCTGGCCCTCCAACTCACTCGACACGGCGCCGTACACGCTCGTGGCACAGGCCTGCTGCAAGCTGGTCATGTATTTCAGGCACTTCTCGTCTGATAAAACAGCCTCCATCTCTGTGGCCGAGTACTTCTGCAGATTGGGACTGACGAAGGCACCCGGATGCACGCTGTACCCGTGGAGACCCTGGGATCCGTAGAGCCGCTCGATCTGATTCGTCATGTAGATGTTGGCTGTCTTGCTGGATCCGTAGGCCAACCAGCCATTGTAGTTGCCGTCGAAGTTGATGTTCTCCAGCTGCACGGGCCCGTACCGGTGGGCGGCGGAGCTGACACTGACCACGCGGGAGTGGAAAGCCGGCGTGGAGCTGGCAAGGAGAAGGTCTTTCAGGAGCCAGAACAGCAGGAAGTGGGACAGATGGTTAGTGCCGAACTGCAGCTCGAAGCCATCCGCTGTCCTGCTCTCTGGGGGATTCATGACCGCGGCGTTGTTGATGATCACATTCAGCCGGCGCTGTGGGCTCTGGCGGCGGAATTCGTCCGCGCAGGCCCGTACACTGGCCAGCTCGGTTTGGTCCATGTACAGCAGATGCACCCGGCCGGTGCTCAGCAGCTCGGCGCCAAGTGCCTCCTGCGCCTTCTGCAGATTGCGCGCGGTGCCAAACACCGTCGCGCCGGACGCGGCGATCGCATGCACCGTCTCGACCCCGATGCCCGACGAGACACCCGTGACCAACACCACTTTGTCGGCCCAGGCGTCGATGAGGCCTTCATCCTGGATAATCTCGGCGGCGGTAACACGGGAATCGCCGGGGCCCTGCAGGGCCTCCCAGCAATTGCGGTCGGCGTAACGGCCTGACAGCTGGAAGGGGACTCGGGAAACTAGGGACATGGTTGTTGATAGGTGATGGGAGTGGGCAATTGAGACGATGGATTGGGCTTATGTTGGATGATGAGAGGAATTGTCTCGTGGAACGGATGACCGGAGTTTCAGTGAGTGGACAGTGAACACAAGTTGCGAAAAGGAAGGAAGGATGGATGGAGGAAGGGAAGGCGAATGATGGAAGAATCCATTGCGTATTTAGTGTACAGACTCAGTCAGGCAGCCAGGCTAATGTCCCTCTCGGAGTAGTACGGATTAAGCAATTGCCGAGCTGCGGATCGGTTCTGCTCCACTGTCTTTGCCCTAAAACAACATCAAGCCTCGAGCTATATTATTTAGTTTAGTCCTATTCACCTTTGCGCCTTGGAGTTCCACCTAAAGGTCTAGTCATTCACAGCAAAGAGATGATGGGATTGGGGACTACTCCCGCCATTCTAGCGGGGTTGGTAAGGTTTATTCCCGCACTGCCAGTCAAATCTCGACTGAGGCTGATCACGTCCAGGTGGTATGTTATTGTCTCTCCACTTGGATCTACAACCTTTACTTTCACCCGCTTGCCCAATTCCCTGGCCCTTTGCTCGGACGCGCCTCTCTGGTATGACCTTGTCTCTCTTCCCAATTACCGCGCAGTCGCATTGATAGTTTGGGTAGTGGTGGCGCTTCATTCATACCTCAACCGGCAAGGTCCACCTTGCGATTGAGGACTTGCACAAACGCTATGGTATTCAGAACATAATCATCATCCGCTTTCCTGGTGCATAGCTAATCACCTCAGGCCCGATTGTGCGTCTCTCGCCCAACGAACTGTCCTTTGGATCGGTTGAGTCCTGGAAGGTGATCTACGGACATCCCACCTCCCAAAGGCCCATGCCCGAGAAGGCGGCTTTCTACGATGTCTTCAGTGCCGGCTTTGCGCGAAATGATCTTGGGAGCGAGCGCGATTATCACAAACATGCCGCCATGCGCCGGATGCTCGCTCCGGCCTTCTCCCAACGCGCTCTCCTCGAGCAAGAAGACATTATCGGTGGTATTATCGACAGGTTTGTGCGGATCGTGGGGGAGAAGGCACCCCCCGGGTCCAAGGGAATCAATATGACCAAATGGTACGAGATGAGCTCATTCGACATCTTAGGGGAGATGGCCTTTGGCGAATCCTTCCATAGCCTTGAAGCCGGTAGGTTCTCTCTTTTTCTACGAACACCCCCAGACGCTGACGCTAACTGCGCCGCCCTCTGTCATGGAAAGGAAAACCACATTTTTGGGGGGATCTGATCGTCTCGCATCTCTACTTCATCACTTTGATTGACAACCTGCGACGAATCAGCACCATTGCCACTCTGGCTCGATATCTGCTCCCCTCGTCCGTTCTAGTGCAGAACCAAAACTCCCGTTACGCAAGAGACCAGGTTGAAAGGTAAGCCCCCTCGCTAATGTCGACTTTGCAGGGAAGAACGTGGTGGAACTAATCTGCGAGCGGTTTTTTGGGGGAGGGCGTAGGTGTCTGCGGGCAAAGGTGTCACGAAAGGATTTTGTGAGTCTATTGGTTGATGAAGTTCACAAGGGGGAAGTTGAGAAAGAGGAGATGGCAGCTCATGTTTCCACATTCGCGTAAGATATTTCCAACTCCCCGCATTGCGACTTTGGTGGCATATGAGCTCACGGGGCGGGGGGGGATCTCTCCACACAGAATCGCTGGGGGTGAGACCGTGTCAACCTTCCTGGCCGCCACCACGTGTTTTCTCTTGCAACACCCAGACAAATTCCAGCGCCTCGTCACGGAGATCCGGGGAGCTTTCCGATCATACGACGAGATCAAAGCTCAAGCGGCCCAACAACTACCCTACTTACAGGCAGTAATCAACGAAGGGCTTAGACTCTGCCCGCCCGGGTCGCAAGGATCCCCACGTGTCTCCCCGGGGTTCAAACTCCATGGCCAATATATTCCTCCAGGCGTAGGTCTTCTCTACATACAAATACTCTTCGTTTCTCATATTTCTTCTAAACATATTTCTACAGGCCGAAATTTACACTAGTCCGTGGACAACGGCGCACAACTCCCGTTACTTCAAGGATCCTAACAGCTTTGTTCCGGAACGCTGGATCGATCGGTCTTCGACTGATGTTAAAGAGGCGAGTCAGCCTTTCTTACTGGGACCCAGGAGCTGTATCGGAAGAAAGTGAGCATCCCTTCCTTTGTATATAACGCGTCGGAATCTCTCTACAGCTCTGACATCAAGCAGTTTTGCCTATATGGAGATGAACCTGCTCATGGCTAAACTCTTCTGGACGTATGACTTGGAATTGGTTAATAGAGACATCGACTGGCTGGGAGAAGGGAAAGTCCATGTTCTCTGGTGGAAGCCTGAGCTACTCATACGCTTCCACCGGCGACCTACTTGATTATGTGAGATTAAAGAGAGGGGGTGGGACAATTCCTGGCTCATTTCGGGGTGACTGCTTTCAGTTGCCGAGGTGTAGAATTACCGGATCGGGAAATGCTCCGATGGGTCGGATCCGTCAATAAGCCCTAGAACGATGAAGTGACATCTCTTTGTATACCCTTTTATAGCAGGTTCTCACACTATATCAGCGGAAAAACATTCTCGTGCTTGCCAGAGTTTACATCTTCAAACGCTAATCATCCCAAGCTGCTACACAATTTGCCATGGGTCTCGTCGCAGAAAGCCTGGCGGCGATCTCCCAAGCCATTTCGCCATTTCTGCAGAAAGTCATATCTGGCCAGGCTCTTCTGGGGCTTATACTGGCATTCATATTTTATTCTGGTGTTCTCATCGCATATCGCCTTTGTTTCCATCCACTTCGAAAAATACCTGGGCCCTTCTTGGCACGTGCGACCAGCTGGTATGAGTTTTATGAAGATGTGATTCTTGGGGGTCACTACGTGAAGACCTATCCCGTTCTTCATGCTAAATATGGTCAGTCTGGACTGGTATTGTTTTTCTCAAGTTGAATACCGCATCTCACCTTGTGGAACCTGTATGTAGGGCCTGTGGTTCGCGTCAGTCCCGACCGGGTTCATGTGGGCGACCCGGAGTTTTTCCACGAGTGAGGGCGCGCAACCGATTCTTTCCAAACACTCCCCCCAACCTCTCCAGAACTAATAGAGAGTGAAATAATAGGATCTACTCCTCTGGTTCCCATTACCTTAAGGACCCCAACTTCTTTCAAACCTCGGGCGGGATCAGCGAGGCTCTTCCCGCCCTGGTCGATCCTGTCTATCACCGCCAGCGCCGGAAGATGATAAACAACTTGTTCTCAGCCAAGTCTATCGATGAGCTGGGCCCCATTGTCCTCAATATCATTCGTCGCGCGCTGGCCCGGGCCAAGTCTGCTCATCAGAACCAAATTCCTCTCGACATCCAGCGCCTGTACACTGGAGTGACGGTGAATTTTCTAGTCTTCTCCACCTCTTGTCGTGGTTTCATGCTTAGATTGCTCCTGTTTCCTGACGACCCTAAATAGGTTGACACCATCATGCGAGTTCTATGCGACGAGCAGCTGTATATGATCGAGGCGGAAGAAGAAGAGCCCCCCTTCTTTGCCGTCCTGCGCACCTTTTCGGCCAACTTCTTCCTGATGAAGCATTTCCCCATGCTCGCCGCCCTCTCCGCCAGCATGCCGAGCTGGCTGTCCAACTGGCTCTTACCCGGGGATGCGCAGTTTCGCAAGGTAAGGGGCATGAAGTTTATTTACCGCCAAGATAACGAGAGGCTGATGCAGTTTGGGAACCCCCGAGCAGAAAGTCACCCAGTGGATCGAGGAGCGAGAGAACAAACACAAAAAAGGCGTCCGGACGGCGGAGGACGGTCGCAAGACGATCTTGGACCTGCTCCTGCAGCCGGACGGCGGGGAACATCCCTTGAGTAAAGCGAGCGTGGTGGACGAGACCTACTCCTTCTGCTTTGCGGGCACCCACACCACCAGTCTGACCATCAGCATGGCCACCTACTATCTCCTGCGAGACCCCCAAAAGCTGCAGAAGCTTCTCGACGAGCTCAAAGATGTCAAGAGAACCTTCGATGGATTGATCGAGCATCGGGATGCGTGCAAACTTCCGTACCTGGTGCGTCTCCAACTCGCTCGGCCGCCGCCCCCCCAACCCCCATTTCCTACCCAGGCGACTTTGTGAGCTGACTGACACGAGCTTGCGCGACACATACAGACCGCAGTCATAAAGGAGTCTCTCCGACTCTCCTCCCCCGTCCCGGGCGTATTGCCCCGTGTCGTTCCCGCTGGAGGCAAGACCTGGGCCGGACACCATTTACCTGCCGGTGTAAGTCCATCCCCTCATAAGTCATAACCCTCCTGTCCTTTTTTTAGCATGCAACCTTTTGCAAAGAGAAAGAAAATCCACAGAAAGTGCCCCATCTGACACACACTATTTTTCTCTGGGCATCACCAGACCTCAGTTTCCGTAGCCATCCGCACCGTCCACGACAACCCGGACATATTCCCGGACCCCGCGCGCTTCATCCCGGAGCGATGGCTCGAAAAGGACGACTTGGACCATTGGCTGATGGTTTTCGGAAAGGGATCCCGATCCTGTATTGGTCTCACGTAAGAAAAAGCCCACCGTCTCTGTTCAATGCTGTCCGCAAACAACCCTCCTGACTGTGTTTTGCCTTAGGGTGGCATGGATGGAACTGTATCTCTGCCTGGCCAACTTCTTCAGCACGCTGAAGATGACGCTCTACGAGACGGATGACACGTCGACTCAGTGGGATGATTGTGGAAATGCCATGATCCATCGCCATGTTAAAGTCATGGTCGATGACGTTCTGGAAAGTTGAAAGCTTGGAGTTGCAGAAGGTTGAACATCAATTAACGTGTGAGGTAAAGGCCAGATATTAAGGATTATCGGTGTAGTTAGAAGAGAAAAGCTAGGGTCTTATGCTTATACTGTATTGAGCTTCGGAGAATAATATAAAGGTTTAAGGCTCCTGATCTATTGTTTCAAACTAGAACAGACCCTCTCGATAGCTAATCTTTGGCTACTATTCTCTAGAGAGAGAGTACAAGCGACTCGAACAGCCGGATAGATGGTAGGGGAGAGACACGGTCGCGGAGCTAAGTAGCACTGAAGCACTGAGGGCGAGAATGGCACTGGGATCTGATTGAGGGAACCGGGCCAGCCGGTTGGTAAAGATGTTCTCCGCGATGAAGACCATGATGACGCCACTCAGCGTCTCGCAGAAGATGACCGTCGAGGTGGCGGTGTCGGGATGACTATACCGATGAATCGAGACTTGACCGATATAGTAATTGGGGATGGAAACCATGGAAATAACTTCAGTGTGTGATAGTGGGGGGGCTTAAGCCAACCTGCACGGCGGTTGCTTGTCCCCAAACCTCTTCTAGATTGGAACTACCGCTAGATTTCCTCCCTTTTCTACCCTTTTAGTTAATCGGATAACCCCCCATATGTTAAGTGCCCCCCGGCCTGCCTAGGTTTTCTCGCCCTACCTCTCCAGTTGGCCCAACAAATCAAATCTAGGTGCTTGCTCCCGGCTGACGTGAACCAAAAACTCTCTGAATCAGGGTCCATGTTTCGTCCCGCAGGTATCCATGAATCCAATAGTTCCCGGCGTTGTCCTGTCCATAAATCACTAATGTATCGCGCGGGTGATCGGTGGTGCCCATGGTGGTCCCTGCATACGCGACACAGGCCCCGGACTCGTCCTCCGGACCGCTGCTGTGCCGAGCCGCTGATGGGCCGAAGTGTGCGGCATCTCGAAAGTTGGCCTTGGACCAATTCGTGCAGGCAATGATGGTGGCATCGGCCCTCCCGAACAAGGGCATCAGCCCGGTCTTCGCGATGGTCGCGCGCACGACCCGCAGGAGCCGGCGCGCCTGCCCATCCGTGGCCTGCTCCCAGATGGTCTGCCGGATGCGACAGGCGAGGTGGCCCACGGAGACGATGGACGAGTCTTCTCCGTGGGGAGCGGGCCCGATCACCGTGGTGACGGGAAGAATTAGGTTCTGCAGAAAGACGCCCCCGGACCGCGGGGAGAGCCCCGCGACGCGACGGCGCAGGTCGAACACGTTGCAGATGATCGCCGGCCGTTGCCGCTGGGCCCGGGCGCAGAGAATCATCTGGGCGCCCCAGGCGGCGATCAGATCGCCGTCGCTGAGGAACGTGGGAGCACTCTTCTCCTCCTTCCCAGGCTGGTGGCTGCATTCCGACTGGGCGATCTGCCGCAGCTCCGCGACGAACGCGACCGGCAGGTAGATGGTGCGGACCTGGATGTTCCGTTCTGTGAGACGATCCCACCCGACCCGCAAGATCAGTCGGACCAGGGCCAGGCCCCGGAGCCGCCAGTGCTCCAGGACGTAGGGGCACTGAGCCTGCTCGTCGTCGCCGGAGCCCACCGATGCCAGGATATCCGCCTTGGCCCCGAGCAGCGGCGGGACCTCATCGGGACGTTCCCGGAGCATCGCCGACCAGGCTCGCAGGAAGCCCGCCGTGCCCATCGCGTCGGTGACGGCGTGGGGAAACGTGATGGAAACCAGGGTGGTATCCGCAAAGGAGACGATGCGCAGCGACAAAAGCGGCTCGTCGCTCCGCAAGTAGTGGCTGATATGATTGGGGAGATCCGGCGGCACGCTGAAGGCCCGAAACTGATGCCAGCCTTCCTGAATCGACGGGGTCGAGCCGGTGGGCTGAGGCAGGCGGCATCCTAACGGGTGTTCATGGACGGGGACGTCATAGGAGACGTGCGAGAAACGGATCGGAGGGTGATCCTTGACATTGGCATAGACGTGAATGACGAGCTGTCCGTCAATCTGGCGGCGTAAGCGGCCGCTCATTTTTCGCCAATCCCCAGACTGCAGCAACCGGACCAAAGCATCTTGAAGCTTGGTTGGTTCCAGGATATAATTGTATCGAAAAGTGTAGGTGATGATAGAATCTCGAATGATTCCAGCTTGATCTATAAAGTGGACCGGAAAAGCTTCATACGGGTCGAGATCATTTCGGCGCGAAGTCTGCTTTGCACTGCCGAGCCAATAGCGCACCGCTTCAAGGATTTGATTCATCGTAGGGTTGTCCGGTAACAACTGCCGGACCCCGATTTTCCGTAAATAAAGAGAGGGTGAGGTGATTCAATCCGTGCCAGTATGTGAAGATGGATGGTTTGCCCGAATTGGTTACTGTGCCGAAGTCGGAGATGTTCCCGATGGGGAAATCTCCAGGGTTCCATTCCACAGCGTCAAGTTTTCCGAGATCAAATTAAGCAATTGTTTTGGTGGATGTGGAGTTCTCCCATTGTAGGTAAGACAGCAATTGTAGTCGACAGGGCGAAGTTCCGATCGCACATCCCATGCTTCCTCCTCTGTCAACGTCAATCATGTCGACCGAGGTACTCCCAGCATGGCTTCAGAACAGGACCATTCCCCAGCTTGGGGCAACGGTCAATTACACCGGCCTCGCCGTCTATCTCGTGGGTTCTTTCTTCATCTATGGCACTGCTGTGGTGGTTTACCGCCTTTATCTCTCCCCAATTGCACATTTTCCGGGACCGCGACTGGCGGCTGCCACCGAATGGTATGAGTTTTACTACCAACTCGTCAAGGACGGACAATGGGGTCGAAAGATTATGGACATACATGACGAATACGGTGAGCATGCAGAGTGAATCCCCACCGGATCGTAGGGCTGACGATCAGTGGCAAGGCCCCATTGTGCGGATTAGTCCCTGGGAGCTATCCATTCGTGACTCTGGCTTTTACCACCAGCTGTATGTGGCAGGCTCCACACGGCGGACGGACATGTGGGCTCGAGGCAGAGAAGGAAATGGGTTTCAGGGTTAGCTTCATCTCCTTCATTGTGACTATCTTCGTTGACTTGAGAACTCTCCTGAAAGACTCCCATCATCTCACCGTCCCGCATGAGCTGCACCGACACAGGCGAAGGCACCTTGAGTCCTTCTTTTCGCGGAAGAGCATCACAGACTTTGAAAGTACAATCATATGGAAAGTGCGCGTTCTTGACCAGCGACTGCAATCCCTCGCGGCGACGAAGACGGTCGTTCATGTTGACCATGCCTTCATGGCGCTGACGGGAGACATTATCGCGCATGTGACCTGTGGCACTACGCCAAGGTTACTCGAGGACAAGGATTTCTCGCCGGCTTGGTATGTGGGCTTGAGGATCCTTTCCCCAAAAAAAAAGTGTCGACATGGCTGCTGATGACCTTACCTGCTGCGGCTAGGCACGAGCTCATGCACAAGACGGTGCTGGTAGCCCCTTTGTTTCGATGCTTTAGTTGGTTAAATCGGTACGTCCGACCAATCCGAATGAATTTGTCCTAATTGCGTCTGATCATTCATACCCTCTAGTCTGATGCAGATGATGCCATCTGCCTTCGTGGAACGGGTCTATCCGAAGGGTATCTCCAGTACGATGGTGGGCAAGGTATGCAACGATGGATAACTGCCTCCTCGTGTTCCACAACCGCATAAATTAAAAAAAGAGTGGCATAGATGGGCCGAGACTATATCGAAAAGATCCGCAGCCAGATGGAGAGCGACACTGTTGGCGTCACTTCGACTGCACCCCATTCAGTCTTCCACCATCTTCTCAGCAGTGAGATTGCCCCATCCGAGAAGTCCACTGCCCGCCTGCAGGCCGAGTCGATGGTGATTCTCATCGCGGGGACGTTCACCAGCGCGCATACCCTCTCCATGATCGTGTACCACGTGCTCAGCGATCCGCGCATAGAAAAGCGTCTCCGGGAAGAGCTATGCGAGGTGATGGCGTGCTATCCAGCCCAGTCGCCGCGATGGGCGGATTTGGAAAGAGTGGCGTATCTTCAAGGCTGCATCAAGGAGGCACTTCGGTCAGTAGTAGCCACTACTATCCCCCTCCGCCTATCTGTCACTCGGGGGACTAACCATGAATCTCCAGACTCTATGGCTTGGTAGGCAATCTAGCTCGTTGCTCCCCCGAAGTTGCCCTCCAATACAAGCAGTGGACCATACCCAAGCACGTACGTTAGTCCCACACGCCCCAGGGAAAAGGTCATCGCGGCTCCAGGAGGGCCTCTCACACGCTAAAATAATTCTCCAGACTCCCGTCGGGATGTCTATCTACCAGATGCACACCGACCCCGCGGTGTGGGCGGATCCACTCGAGTTTCGCCCGGAGCGATGGCTAGGATCGTACGATTCACGCATGGACCGGAACTATGTCCCTTTCACTAAGGGATCCCGAGCCTGTCTGGGAAGCAAGTAAAGCCCCACCCCCCTGATCATCCTGTTGCTTTACGTGGATTTTCAGTCGAGCTGTACTGATACTTTCCTCTCTTCTCCCTTCTCGTTCGCGTGTGCAGCCTCGCGTTGGCGGAACTCTATCTGACCACGGCGATTCTATTCCGACCGAACGGACCCCGACTCTCGCTGTTTGACACCGTTTCATCCGATGTGCGCTGGGTTCGAAACTTTGTCATTGGATTTCCTCGAGCCGGAAGTCGAGGCGTGCGGGTGCAGGTCCAGTAGAGGAGGGATTTTTGCGAGGTGATGGATGGGGTCGAAGGGCAGAATCCAAGTGGCGAGCGAAGAAGATGAATGCTTGCATGACTTCGGTACTCTTTCATTTGGGGGCTTCGGTAAGAGCCCGTTTATTTATGCCATTTGGCCATATTAAAGACCTCCTTGCTCTCAGTTACTGCGCTGATCTTGTTTCTCCAGTATTGCCTTTGGGCTCTTCGAAACTCCTGCCAGAAGCCTTTTTGTGTGTAGAGGCCTAGTCAGTAGTCTCGTAGTGCCTCCTTGTATTCGGTATTCTACCAGGGTTGGCCGCCTCCTTGGGGTAAAGACTTGTTCGCAGACGCTGTATATGCACTGTAGATGGCTTGAGTTATCCTGTTTGCTAGATAATCTAGTTCCTCCTTGGTTCCTGCTGTACTCCTGATGCTGTCAATATCCGAGGCGAGTAGTGTGAGAAAGCGGGAGTGGTCTAATGTATTAAACATTAATCTTCGCGATGTTTCTATAGATTTCTGTCCCCTCGGTAGGTTTGTCAGGAGTGGGCGATGGTCTGATGTGGCATTTAAGTGTGTTGCTACTCTGAAGTATGCTCTTAGGAGTGTTAGGGAATCAATCAATCAATCAAAATTCTATTAACCTGATGGAGCCTATCTATTGAAACGACAGGCTATGCAGGCGCTTCGC